AAAAATGTACATGTGCTTAATGCCACTTAATGAGCTATACACTAAATAGCTGGAAATTTTTGCCTAAATTTAAAACTAAAATGATGGAAAAACAACTAAATAAAAATCTGTTCACCTATTTTCAGGAAAAAGTATTCTGTCTATTTCATGGAATTTTAGACTTTGAACAATATGAATAGTGGTACCCAAGCATCAGTGAGGCACTGTCAGAGTCACTAGCCACGAGACTGCTGGGTGAACTCACAGATGACTGTGACTCTTTAATATTCCAGACTTCCCTAATATTTGTTTTATGGTAGGTACTGTGATAGTCTGAAAGAAAACAGCACCCAAAGGGAGTGGCACTATAAGGAGGTGTGGCTTTGTTGGAGAAAGTATGGCCTTGTTAGAGGAGGTGGGCTTTCAAGTCTCATATATACTCAAGTCACCCAGTGTCTCAGACTACTTCCTGTTGCCTGTGAGTCAAGATGTAAGAACTCTCAGCTCCTGTCTAGCACCAGGTCTGCCTGCACACTGCCTTGCTTCCCACCAGATGATAATGGACTAAACCTTTTAACTGTAAGTGAGGCACCACAATTAAATGTTTTCCTTTACAAGAGTTGCTATTGTCATGGTGTCTCTTCATAGAAACAGAAACCCTAACTATGACATGTACCTTGGAAAATAATAATTTAAAAAAGTCCTACAAGCAAACCACAATTCTCTAATGCCCTTTCAACCACAGCCTGACAATTTTTATCCAGGAAGTCTATTTCAGTGGCTCTCAGCTGAGTGAAAGTTAAAAGTTACAAAAGCAAGCAAGTAAGAGAAAAATATGACTTCATAAGCAAGCTTGCCCAGCTGGGAATACAGACATAGAATTGAGGTCAGAACAGCATTTCTCATCTTTACAGTAAGTTAAAGTTACACGGCAATTCCAAATACAGTTTTACTAGACATTTCTTCCTCTCTCCACAGGAAAATGTTTTCAAATTTCCAGGATATGAGCACTGAATTCAAGTGATCAGATCACAGTCTTCTACATGGCCATGGGGATAACACAGGTTTTTAAGCTCAAATCCACTTTTATAACTCCCTAACTGACATCTTCAGTCAAGACTTTACTGTTCTCAAGTTACAAAACCCAACAACAAAAGCAATGCCTACGACTTGGGGAATCTGGCAAGGAAGAGGAAGGTATCATTTGTTGCCTCATAGGTAAGGACTTGACATCACTACCACACACCACTCGGGAGATCTGTAGGATCAAGAGGGTTACAGATTACATGTTGAAACCTTTAAGAAGGAAAATTACTCAAAAGGCATGGCTTCTATCCACTAAGATTCCTAGATTCTTACTGACTGGTCTAAAGTGGGCTGGAGGTGTAGCCACCAATGAGCACCTGCAGTTTCATCAGATGCCAGACACTGAACATGAGCTCTTAGCTCACTGCACACTTCACTTGCTGAAGAAGGACCTTGATGAAGAATGAGATAAATAGATGAGCTACTGGAGGGCATGAAGGATGGAGCTGGTGGTCTACTGAGCCTCACCATTTCTCTCACCAGGGTATGGCAACTTGCTGGCACCATGAGCTATGCCTTCTTTATTTACTTTCAGCATGGATGGATGGTCAGGTTTGGGTTCACAGGCACAGGTAGAGGCAGGCAGTGAACATCAATCTAGTGTCTAGGAGATGGGAACAGGAATGGAGGCTGACAGTCTCAAGTTAATTTCATCCATGCATCCGACTTGCCAAATATTTAGAGTGCTACTTACTATGCAAGACAGTGACGCTGCCCCTGACAATGAAGTACTGAAGCAAACAGACCATGAACAAAGAACACCAGACATTTTAACAAGTGTCATGAGGATAAAAGCCATGAGGTATGGTTGAGAGTGCCTCTGAGACCACAGAGGGCCCTTCTGATAAGATGGCATATAAGCTCAGACACAGGAATAGAGCTGAAGGAGAAACTTTCCAGGGGCTAATAGAATATTGCTAAGTGCTAAGGCCCCAAGGTGGAAGAGTTTAATCTGTTGAAAGAAAGACAAGACTTAAGAGAGAGCTGTGAGTGATGGTAGAGGGGAATCCAATTCCCCTCTAATTGTATTCAATGATGCAGGAATTCATTTTACATTTTTAGCAGATGAAACTGGCCAAACAAATCAAAAAACAAAACCCTAAAGTTCTCTATTAAAATGACTCATATGAAGATTTTCCACTTTTAGAGAGATCATAGCTTATCTTAGTATGGTGTTTTGAATGGAAACGGCCCCCATAGGCCTATAGTGAGAGGCACTATTAGGAGGTGTAGCCTTGTTGGAGTAGGTATAGCATTGTTGAAGCAAGTATGTCACTAGGGGCGGGCTTTGAGATTTCAAATGCTTAAGCCAGGCCCAGTGTAGCTCTCTTTTCCTGATGCCTGATAATCCAGATGTAGAACTCTCAGCTACCTTTTATATATCATATCTGCCTGTGTGCTGCCATGTTTCCCACCAAGATGATAATGGACTAAACCTCTGAACTGTAAGCCAGCCCTAATTAAATGTTTTCTTTTATAAGAGTTTCCATAGTCATAATGTCTCTTCATAGGAATAGTGGCGCGGGAGAATTGTCTGTATTCTGTCAATCATGTTTTAAATAAATCATGTTTAAATAAATGCTGATTGACCAGGCAGGAAGTATAGGCGGGAAAACCAGACAGGAAGTAGAGGTGATGCAATGAGAACAGGAGTATTCTGGAAAGCAGGAAGCTCCCTCCGCACTCCTGCCCAGACCACGGAAGAAGCAAGGTATAATCTGCCCGGCTGAGAAAGGTACCGAGCCATGTGGCAAGCATAGATCAGAATAATGGGTTACTATAAGTCATAAGAGCTAATAAGAAGCCTGAGCTAATGGGCCAATCAGTTTATAACTTATGGAGATCTCTGTGTGATTTTCTTTGGGGCTAAACAGCTGTGGGAATCGGGCAGGACAGAAAACCCCAACAAGCCAGCCCGTCATGTTACAAATAGAAACCCTAAGACACTTCATATTAGGTATATGCCACTAAAACTCTTCCAGGACTCTTCCAGGACTCTTCCAGGATGAAGGGAAGTATTGAGAATGAGGCAATAGGCATCTCTGAAATCTCTAGGAACTTCCGAAGCTACCATTGTGTCTCTGGCTGTGTACTCCTACTATAAAGGGCCCCTGTGGCAGCTGTGGAGGGTAACCACCATCTAGTACCTTCACTCTCTGCCTGGGCAAAAGCAAGCTTCTATGGAACCTAAGTTTTCAAAGCAACTGCAATGCAAAAATCCAGTGTATTCCAGGGGAAAGATGTCTTTATAACCTTTGCCCTTGTTTCATGCTATGCCAACCACAGCAAAGAAGAAAAGTCCACACCTTTCCAACCTGCTCAAAATGAATTCATCCGGGGAGGCATGCTGAAATAGAAGAAAGAGATCCAATCGACCCATTTCATTAATCAGCTTCCATAAAACCATTCTCCAATGATTTCTCATACATCTGAGCTGCATCTGGGCCAGGTAAGTGGTGCTATTACTCTACAAGAGTAGCCATGGCCATGCCTACCTGAGGCAGGCAATCAGAGGATCAACTGAGCAATAAAGAACAAAGACTGTCTCTGCATACTAGCTATAGTTTGCCCAATATGGAAAAGATATGAACTGAATAGCCCACTCCCTCCCAATCCTAATTGTTATTTTTATCCTTATATATGTAGTATCTGTGCATATGTGGTGCATGTCACATTTGTGTGAGTACCCAAGGAGGCCAAAAGAGGGTGTTGGGTTTCCTGGAGCTGAAGTCACAGGCAGTTTATAAGATGCCACACGGGGTAATGTGGGTCCTCTGGAAGAAATGCAGTGTGCTTAGCTACAGAGCCACTTCTTTAGCACCTCCCCCCCAATTTTGAAGTGGCCAATCAAAGACCTTTGACCTCTGGGAGAAAAGAAAAATTAAGCTGATTCTGTCAGCTCAAAGTCAAGACTTGGAAGGCATAAGAACTGGGGGGAAAGGGGGAACTGAAGCAAAACAACTGCCAGATGCTCCTAAGAAGTCAGATTTAGCTGCTTTACCATAAAAGGTGACCTCATACCACCCACAATTCTGTCCCCTGAAAAAAAATAAGGAGAAGAGAACAGGAAGCAGCCTTTAGCATCTACCGAGTCCAGAAGAGTGCATCCACTCAGCATTTTTCAAAAGCCATGTAAACTAACCAGCTCCACTTTCTAGCAGCTCCCTAAGAATCAGTAATAGGAAAAGCAAACAGCAAAGATAATGGAACTCCAGTAGTCACTTCCTTCACTGATGAGGAGTCTGCCCTAGAGAGTTCAGCTAGTAGCAGAACTTAGTAGGGATCCTAAGTCTCCTGACTCATATTCCATATCAACTTTCATTATATATTATTATATTACAAAGTAATAAAGTACTGACAGCAAATAGGAACCAGATGGATCACCCACAGTTCTATCATCACACTTGGCCATCACTCTTTTTATCATATGCTTATGGCTTCTATTACTGTATTAAAATAATAATGGAGCCATGTTCTTTTCAAGACATAGGCCTCTCCAAATAAACATAGTGGTGTGTGCCTGTATCTGAGTACTTGGAAGGTAAAAGCAGGAAGATTAATAGTTAAAGGCTACCTTTGGCTACATAGTAAGGATAGAGGCTAGCTTGGCTTCAATGAAAACTTTGTTCCCACTACCCCCAAAATATACTAACAATAATTTTATTAAACAGTGTGAAAAAAGAACACTGATTTGATCCAGAACACAAGTGGTATAACCTGAAATGATTTTTATTAACTTTGTAAGAGTTAGTACCCTCCAAAATAAGTCTTTCCAACTTACTAAGAAAATTAAAATATACAACAGCAACCAATTATTAGGACTTAGAACTCAGGTCCTTGTCATCAAGAGCTTAAAGTTGAACTCCCCAGGGGCCCTGGAGGTCCTGGAATAGAAGACTGAAGCTGCTAACCTAAAATGAGTCCTATGTACCTACCTGGAACATCAGGTACTTGAAGAGGAATGAAAGGATCAGACACACTTAGAAGTGGGATGCCAGAGTCCACAGCCTGCCCACCCTTCCTTTTTTCAGCTGGAGTTAGTTGAAGAGGAAAGATTAGGAGGGAAAAATGAAAAAAGCAGAAAATATCAAGTAAATATTGATGCATTTACCATCTATTTATACAAGAGCTCAAATAACAGAGAAAATCCAAATTTAGACAGAAAGGAGGGGGTGAACTGAAATAACTCAAGTAATAGCAAAACACCTAGAAGACACACTAAGGGGTCCTGTAACACACTATGAACGCAGCGGGGTCAGAGCAGGACAGTCATGTGCTTGAACTTGCCCTTTCTCTTAGTGTTTGCCACCCCAGGAATCTCTGCTCAGTGTCTCTAGAAAGTACTGCCCCTCACCCCTACACACTTTGGCACATAATGTCAATATATGTTTATCCATTTCCTGTGTATTTCAACAGCCAACATGTGCTCCAGGCAGCAACTGTCTTACTGCACTATTACAATGTCTAACAGGTGCAGTGCTATGGATGGATAAGCCCAAGCTTCTGGCTCCTATCTAGTACTACTGTTGTTCATGCTGTATTCGGTAAACTTTAGTTCCAGAAACATAAGTATCTTATAGCATATCAGGGCTTAAAACCTTTAAAGTCCTGGAAATTTCTACTACTATTTTCTCAATTTTATTTATTTGTTTTTTTTTGTTTTTTTTTTTTTGGCAAAGAAAACAAAGGCCCAAACTGAGACAAGTCAGACCCGGGTCTCTTGGCTTCTACTCTAACAATCTTTACATTTCACTTTAGTACTCAGTTTGGCTGTTAATTAAAATCCCATTTTGATTTCTAAGTGATTTTTTTTTAATTTGAAAGTCAGGTATGGTGATGTACACTGTACTCTTAAGTGTTCTAGAAGCTGAGGTAGAAAGATCACAAGTTTGAGGGAGAGGAAGGAAGGAAGGAAGGAAGGAAAGAAGGAAGGAAGGAAAGAAGGAAAGAAGGAAGGAAGGAAAGAAGGAAGGAAGGAGAAAACAAACCCCAATAACAATAAAGGAAAGTGAAAACTATAAAGACTCACAGTAAGTTGCTGCAGGCAGAGTGTGAGCCCTGTACCCAGCTTCTGCAACAAGCACACTTTCTGTAACAGCAGGATAGTATCACCCATGCTATTCAACACTACGACTTGAACTATTTCGTTTTCCCTTACACCCTGCTAGAGTTTGGATTTGGGATGTCCTCCAAAGGTCTGTAATGGTTACAATTAAGTGTCAGCTTGCCATAATCTAAAGTCACCCAGGAGACGGGCATCAGAAAATGTCTGTGGAGGAATATCTTGACTGTATAATTTAGATGGGAAAGCCCTCCTGCATTGATCACTAAATGAGAAAATGCCTTACAGCATCTCAAGGAGGCATTTCATAGCTGAGGTTCCTTTCTTTTATGACTCTACAGCTTGTGTCAAGTTGACACCCAAAACCACCCAGTACAGAAAGTGTAGCAAGGGTGCAGGGGCTTAGGAGGCACCTACCACCATATTTTTTTGAGGCTCAAACTCAGGTGGTCAGGCTTGGTGGTAAGTGCCTTTACCCATGGAGCCACCTCACTAGCCCATGCCAGACTTATTAAGTGAAGAAACAAACAAACAGGTTTTAAAAGGTACAGATGGATATCACAGTGTCACAATCTTAAACCAAAACCTAAAATTGTACAAAATTGTGACCACATGTATTTTGGTGAGGAAGATCTAGAAATTTCATTAGATTCACAAAGATGTTTAGGACCCTAAAAAAGTTAAATGAAGTGTTCACATTGTGGTGGTTTGAATGAGAACGGCCCCCATAGGCACATATACTTGAATGCTTAGTACCCAGTTAGTGGAGCTATTTGGGAAGGATTAGGAGGTGTGGCCTTTTTGGAGAAGTTGTGTCAATGGTGATGGACTTTGAAGTTTCAAAAGCCCATGCCAGGCCCAGTGTTTCTCTGCCAACTGCTTACCGATCAGGGCGTATACCATTCAGCTACTGTTTCAGTAACATGCTTGTCTACATCCATGATGATCACGGACTAACCCTATAAAACTGTTAGCAAGACTCCAGTTAAATGCCTTTTTTAAAGAAGAGCTGCCTTGGTCATGGTTTCTCTTCAAAGCAACAGAACAGTGACTAAGATATACATCATGATGAAGTCATTATACTATGTCTAGGTGATGAGATCATGGATGATTTGGATTGTTTCTACACAAATATATAACTTTTATAATATGAATGGATAACTTTTACTAATAATGGAGAAAACAAGTCTCATTGATTTGGTTTTTAAAAATACATGTGTACATATAATAGACTATCAAGTATAAGAGAGTTTCTAAGTCTTAGAATCCTTCAAGTAATCCCAAAGACTTTAAGCAATGACAAAATCTTGCCAGAGCACTGATCCTTAAATTAGAAATATCTACATAAGACACATACTGAACAGGGAGAGCAGATCCTGTATATTCACCACAGCACTCCAACACCTTGAGTTAAAAGTGATTTTTGGAGGTCCTTAAAAGTCTTTTGGCTGGACAACTACTGAATGAAGGAAAGTAATGATTTATTACCAGAAACTGGGTTCTTTGTATGCTAGAGCTATTTATGAAGTGGAAACAACAGTGAGCCTCATGTCTCAGGCATGTGTCACACTTACCAGTTCCAGCAGAAAATGAGGAAGTGGCAAAAGCATCTCCTTGTTTTGACTGGAAACCTGGGATCAAACTCTCTGCTGAGCCACCAAGCTTCTCAGGAAGCTTTCCTAGAGGGACAAAATACCACTGGGTTCATCCTTGAAGAATCCTGGGGTGCACAGACACATAGTGAGGTGAAGAATACTCTCTGATGTGACTTTTCTTACTACATTTATGGCAACATCATACCAAACAAATACCAAAAGGTCCTTGTCTGTGCAGATGCTCAAAGACTGTTCTTCAAGCTGGCAGCAGCTTGAGAACTGAGATGGAATGACAGGGAAGAAAGACAGGTGCAACAGCAGGGCTACATGAAAGCAGACAGCAGAACAGCAGCAACACAGACGAAAAATTAAAAATAGACAAAAGAGTTCAAAAATATCAAAACAAAACCTCTGGGGCAGGGCTGGAGAGTTGAAATGATTCATCGGTTCAGAGTCCAAACTCTTGTGCTTCCAGAATACCAAAGTTCAATTCCCAGCACCTACATCAGGTAGGTCACAACTACCCGGAACTCCAGCTCTAAGGGATCTGATGGGTCTAGCTTCTATGGACCTGCACTCACATCCCATGTATGGACACACATATTACACAATTTAAAAATAAATAAAATCACAAAGAACCCAGTGGCTCATTAACTAGACACAAACATACTAATTTTCAATAATGCAGCAAAAAAAAAAAATCTGTTTACAGCACAGAATAAGAAGTGGCAGAGATAACAAGGAAAAGGACTTGTCAAAGAAATTAAACCCTACACCCTGTCTTCTATTTAAAAGTCTGAACCATCCAGGCATGGTGGTCCACAAATTTAATCCCAGCACTCAGAGGCAGAGGGGTAAGTGGATCTTTGTGAATTTAAGGTTACCCTGGTCTACATAGGGAGTTCCAGACCAACCAGGCTACATAATGATACTGTCTCAAAACAAAATAAAATAAAATGGTAGAAAGTATGTTTTTAAAGCATTTCTGTAAAGTAAATCAGTTTATATCATTCACTGACTCTGCTCATTCTTTTGTTTTGTGCTGAGTCAGTACACAAGGGGTGTCTTTCTCCTAACTCAATATTGGAGAGATTTTCCAGCTATCTGTAGATTTGCTTGGGTCTGGCTATGGTTATTTTGGATAGAATCATGCCTTGTATTTAAAGAATCTCCTATGGTCAGTCAACAACACATAAACTGTGATCAGGACTCAGTATTCTGTGAGGCATACCCTCAGCTACTCTTTCTAGGGCAAGCCCATTGAAAATTAATGGGACATTTACACTTCTCCAAGGAATCACTCAGTTGATTTAATTATCTCAGTTTATGCCACTGAATCCTTTCAAAGTTTATCCTCTATGCTCACACAGTTCCCGGTGCTTCTCGCAGTTGGTCAGCATTTTTGAAAAAAAAAAATTGTGCTACGGCAAAAATGAAAAAATGAAAGTCAGTCTGCAAACCCCAAAACCAATCCTTTTCCAGACAGGTCCGTTCTGACCTTTCCTAAGCACATTCCTCTACAGCTAAGACACAGACACACTCAAGTTTCTTTTCAGCCGACTTATAACCAAGAAGAACAGAAAAGACTCAGCTTGCTCACCTTCCCCAAGCTTGGCAAAGTCCTTGTTAAGCAGTTCTTCAGCTGTGAGTTTGGAGAAGTTGTCATCATCAAAAGGATTCCATGTTGAACCTTCAGAAGCATTGGAGACATTCTGTTGCGAGGTCCGTGGAGAGCCCGAGGGAGTGGTAGTTGCAGACCTGGGAAAGTTCCCCCAAGGGTGAGGGAAAAGAAAATATAAAAACGCAGAAGGGTCCAAACAATTTTCTCTTCATTACGGTACCAATTCTTTTCTCAATCAAACCATCATTTTCCACAGTGTTTCCCTAAAGGACCTCCCACTGACACTGAAAAGTTTAGTCTTCATAAACGCTGTGTCCTTCACTTAAGCTCTCATAAAATCCTGCAGCTTGCCTATTCCTGGCAAAGCCCTAGTTAGGATCCACAGCAACCTATCCTGAGGGCCATGTATTCAGCACAAGCAACTCTTGCTGGGGCTGAATCCCAGGCCTATCATGGCTGCCTCTGACCTTTCAGGATACAATGCGTATAGCACTAAGCTATCATCACGTGTTCAGAATGTTGTTCAGGGGTAGAGTTACTCTATCACAAAGAAAAATAAACAGTTACCACTACCTTTGTATGCACAGATCACCTACTTTTCCTACAGTCTCTCTTGACTTAAATATGTTTAACTTTAGAGTGCATGGTTTCAAGGAGGCTAAGGGTCTAAAATTAGAAGAACTTAACAATGGCCACCAAGACTGACTTTATGTAGAGCACAGAACCAGCTACCCCACCAGGTTCATGAAGGTTGGTAAAGTCTCTGTCTTTGGAACTCACAAGCCAGGCTGGCCAGACATACAAATAGTTCATGATAAAACATATGATGTACACTTGGGAAAAAAAAAAAAAGATCTCTAGACAAAATACTTCATGAGAGGAAAGAACAAAGCTTGACATGGAGCTAAGGAGGCCAAGCACATCCTCTATGGAAGCGGGGAGCAGCAGTTCCAAAGACAAGCCAAGTCACCTGTGTAGACAATACTTGCTGAGGTAGCTACCCTCCAAATTTCAGGGGTCCAATAAGAAATTGTCAGTACAGAGACTTGGTCAAAGGGTTTGGAAAACACTCTCTACAGAGCATAGAACAGATGGGAGAATAGAAACTGAAAAGACAGTATCTGTACAATGCACACATTGTGGGCAAGTTCATGGTCTCTTACTAAATACAGACATGCACTGGTATAAGTATGCAACCACACCTCCACAAGCTTATGCAAAGAATCATATAGTAGTGACCCAGAGCAGACCTTGCCCACATGATAAGAACAAACGTACTTAGATTTATTGAGACTGGCCTCAGCTGCAGCTGCCTGGAGCAGCTGGGTTGATTTGCTGGCAGGAACCCCAAAGACTGCACTGTGGGTTACATCACTGAGGATTCGCCTGTGCCCAGCACGCTGGGTTTTAGGGGATGATGGAGGAGTGAGAGATCCAACTTTCTGACCCTGGATAGTTGGAGGTGGAGTTGTCTGAACCTTTGACTGTTGTCTTGGTGGAGCTTGAATCTGCGAGGGAAAGAGAAATGCAAAGCTTCATTATGAACAAACAAAAAAGAAAAAAGGAGGAAGAAATAGGAAAGAAAAACAAATTAATAATCATGTATAATAACAACTCATTTGCTCATAAGATTTGAAAGGCCAAGGTTATCAACAGCACCAGAAAGAAAACCAAGGCACCAACCATCTGAGCTGCAATGGAGATATACATCACCAAGGAAATGCCTGGTTCTTATTCACATTCAGTTTCCATAAGCTTCAATATACAAATTAATCAGATGTAATGGAGCTACCAGCCTAAGACTACATATGCTATTCCCTACCCTAAAGATCTAGAAGGTATCTTAAAGGACCTCCTACTTCTGAGGACAAACAGCACTGCATCAAGAAAGCTTCCACGGGGCAGGCAATAGATTCTACTCTCTATTACAGCTAGAAGAGAAAATATACTCCAGTAAAGATGCTTTGGAGCATGACAGTTTCTGCTTAGAGTTATGGACTCCCTCCTACACTAAGTAGGTGAATCAAACAATCCCAGTGACTGAAGCACGGTAGCTCTTGTTTTATATTGTAGATGGATTCACAAGAACCTATTTTTCTGTTTCAACCCCACATCAAAAGTGCAGCACTGGTGTAGTGGGATTTACTTGCTCCAATCTTCCTTAAGACACGGCACTGAAGATCAGTGGAAAATAGAGTGAGACAGAAGAAAAACCTTAATGATTGCTGGGCTAATAGAAGGACTCTTGAGAAGTGGTCCACAGAACAATAAACAGGTGGCAATGTAGTTGTGACTAAGTGGTCCTTAGCACAAGCCATCTGTATCAAGCAAAATAATTTTAAAAGCATTCAGAAAGCCACCTAAGCCCTTCCTTAGTTCTGCCAACATGGAAATAAAAAGTCTGGATACTGAGTTCCTCAGGGACTTAACTATCCCTTCCCTCAAATCCCTCCACTTAAGAGAAAGCTACATTTCCACACTGAAGCTCAGCTCCTACGTTGTGTCTCTGAAGACAGACACCCAGAATTTAAGAAACAATGACATAAAAGTTCAATGGGTCAGGATGCCTACAGCAGAGGAGTGTCCTCATGTTGTCCCTGGGAGCTGGAATGCTTTCTGAGGCACATTATCTTCCTGTGTCTGTATGCCAATCACCCCATTAACAAGATGAATGACAGCACAATATAAGATTCTACTGTCAACCAGACTAAGGCAGGAAGGGTGACAGCCCACAAGGATCATGGAGCTCTGTGAAGGTTAAAGTGCTGGCAGTGCATCTTCTTGTGGGGGCCCAGAGCTACATAAGAAAGGCCTTCTAAATGTCAGTATCCACGAGGGTCAGCTGTGAACTGGCTTATCTCACTGCAAAGGGTACTTCACAGTTATGATGGACTCTGTGAAGGAACATCCACACTATTGAGAGAACACTATCTCTTTTCTTGCCTATCTTTCAGTTGCAACACACATAACAGATGCCTCTACTGGGAGGATCCCTCCTCTGACAGGTGAGCAATGGACCACTGAGCCACATCTCCAAGACAGCACCAGCGGATCACCTCTAATCTGAAAACCTGATATCCTTAAGGCTCTAAAAACTGACACTTTCACATGTAGAAAATTCTACACCTGACTTCATGGAGCAATTGGCAGCCCAAAGGTAAAATTTCATATACAATTATTTCAATGTAAAAGTGCCTATGAAATAATTTAATTCTGTGTGTTGATTTCTGATAGCAACTCCACAGGGTAGGTTTTATGGACATTGGGAATCAAAGAAAACAAATGGAAACAGACCCTACAGAACAAATCCCAGAACCTTCACTTCAGAGACAGAAGAGCATCTTTAGTCCACTGAGGCTAACAGGTCAACCAAGGTAATAAGACCACTTGGCCACAGAAGCTGACTATGGCTGGGAATCTTCTAGATCACATTGTCTCCTCCTCTAAAGACAGGATTAGTAAGAGACACAAGAGTCCAGAAACTATGGCGCGTGAAGTGTACCTTTAATCTGTGTTTGGGAGGTATAGATAGGTAGATCTCTGAATTCAAGGCCAAACTGGGCTACACAGCAAGTTCCAAGCAACCCTAGAGTACAGAGTGAGATACAGTCTCAAACAAATAGATTACGTTAAAAGGTTTTAAAAGGGGCAGGAGGTAGGGGTACACCACAGAAAGTAAAAGGGTGGAGTCTGATGTCTATTTTGTCAGAGAATTCGTTTTTTTAAAAGTATTTTAATTGTGTGTGTGTGTGTGTAAACGCATGCACATGTCTGTCTATGAATTCAGACATGAGATCCTGACGAGATCCTTTTTGGAGCTTAGGTTTCATATAGCTGTTAGTTGCCCAACATGGGTGCTGGGAACTGAAGTTGAGTCTTCTGCAGGAGTAGTAAGCTGTGTCAGCACTACCTTGTGGACGACATTATTTCATGGGCCTGTACAGGTTTTAATGGCTTCACCCTATGTCCCTATGCCCACCACACAGAACACAGAGCTCAGTGTTGGCTCATCTAGGACTCATGAGAAGGCTGAGGATTCACTCCCAAGGCAGTAGACACTTTGTCTAGGAAAACCAGAAAAGAACCTTTTAAGAAGTGTCTTCAGCACCAGTGGATCATCTCAACACCCTTGAGGAGACACAACAAAAGTCAGAGTTCCTGATCCTTGCCCCAGCTCTAGTACAATCCTTCTGTATGTCTTGGGCAGTAACTTTCTAGGTTGGGTCTCAATTTTTAATTCCACAAAATGAGGAGTTTGAACTAGATACTTAAGACCCCCTCTAGCTATTTCATGCAATATTTTTTTACAAAAAAATATTTATTTATTATGTATACAATATTCTATCTGTGTGTATGTCTGCAGGACAGAAGAGGGCACCAGACCCCATTACAGATGGTTGTGAGCCACCATGTGGTTGCTGGGAATTGAACTCAGGACCTTTGGAAGAGCAGGCAATGTTCTTAACCACTGAGCCATCTCTCCAGCCCCTTCATGCAATATTTTAAAACCTCTTTCCATTATCAATGGGAAGTTTATTTTAGTTCAAAAGTACAAACAATGGCTGTCTACCATATTTCTGTAAAAGACTGAGTTGTTTACAGAAACAAACAGGTAAAGCACTGAACACACACTCAGCAGAGACAGAAAGAACACAATCTACCTATAGCACTGTTTCCTTTTGAAGAAATATAAATAAATCTCCTGGTTTAGAATGGGCGGCAAGTTCTCTGCTAGAAATGAATCCTCATAAACATGGTTTCTCACTTCTCTTCATTAGTTTAGTTGTTGGGCCTCCTTGAGAATGAGAATAGCTAGGTATACAAACACTACTGGCTATTTGTTCAAAATGCCTTTTGGTAACAACAGAAGTTTCTACTACTGTCATTAAAAAACTGAGTACACAATACAGGCATGGTGGATTGAAATAAAATGGACACCAAAGATGCTGTGGAATAATCCCTTTGTACACTGTGAAGATTTGTCACTGTGATTGGTTTAATAAATGAGCTGACTAGCCAATAAGTTGAACAGGATAAAGTTAGGCAGGAAAACCGAACTGAGAATGCTGGGAAGGAGAGGGACAGTGTAGAGTATTTCATTTGTATTTTAATAAGTAAAGTTTGCCTAAGGACTAGAAAAGTAAAATAGCCTGATAGACCTGGCAGCAATAACACACAACTTTAATCACAATAGCTTGCCACAGAAACCAGGAGGTAGTGATGCACGCCCTTAATATCCCAGAACTAGAGAGGATTATAAAACAGGATGAGACAGCTTTCAATCTCAGTCTCATTCTGAGGATTCCTGGAGGCAGGATCACCATTTTCGGACTGAGATCAAAATAAGAGCCAGTGACTAGCTGCTATGCTTTTTCTGGTCTTCGAGAGGTTAAACACCAATTTCTGTCTCTGAGTTTTTATTAATCATACTTCAGTTGGCGCCCAACTTTTGGAGTAGAAATTTACAAAAAAGCTGTTTGCCTGAGGCTTTTAAGCCACTTTTTAGCCAGAGCTGGACTCAAAAGTAGCCACCTGGGTTCAGGAGAAAAAAACTAGATCTCCCAGCTCCCATTTGCCCAAGCTTAGTTTTCATGTAAAGATTGAAAATATATAGAGAATCTGGACACTGCATGTTTCTATGTTGTCTTTGAATTGTTTGACTGCTGAGGAAGGAACAATAGCCACTAAAAGACATTTGATTATAAATGCTGCTGAATTAATCCAACCTATATATTTTGAAAATGTCTTGACTCTAGAATTTAAGTCAAAAGATATGCTACTTTGGAGAAGAGGTTTTGTTTTTGTTTCCACAGGAAATGAGAGGCTGTGGATTCATTCTGGGTTAAGAAAAATAAGGTTTGATCAAGGAAGACTCCCCTAAAAAATTTCCAATGGAAACAGATGACCCAGATGATCCAACATTTAAGAGCACCTCTGTTGCAGTTTTCTCTGAGTTCTACATCCAGAACAGCTTCAAGACTGCTGGCTGAGATGATCCAGCCTCACAGAATACTCCCTCCAGCCAGGACTTGACCATAATCTGTAACATGAGGGCCAGCTTGTTGGGGTTTCTATCCCGCCCGGTACCCCATAACCGGCAACTCCCAACGAAAATCACTCACAAGACTTCATAAGATTATAAACTGATTGGTCCATTAGTTCAGGCTTCTTGTTAACTCTTATAACTTATGTTACCCCATTATCCTTATCTACATCAGCCACATGGCTCCATACCTTTCTCAGCTGGGCAAGTTACATGCTGCCTCTTCGGTGGTCTGCGCAGGAGAGATGGAGGGAGCTTCCTAGAATACTCCCAGTCTCTTTGCTCCACCCCTACTTCCTGTCTGGCTTTCCCGCCTATACTGCCTGCCTGTCCAATCAGCGTTTTATTAAAATATGAATGACAGAATACAGACAATTCTCCCACACCAATAATCCTCAATTTTCTTTGGGTCCCCATAAGATTATCAGCACCCCCAATCAGCAGGAAGTATCCTGGAAAACTATGCCCACATTCCCAAAAAATGGATTGTGGATGTTTGTCTTTGTTTAGTATGTTGGTTACAAGTTGTTATGGATAAAGGTCAGGAAAAAAGCTAAATGAAGGAGATTAGATTCACAGTTCTTGTTTTGAAAAGAAAGAAACGGGAAATGCTCTTGTACACTGTAAAGATTTGTCACTCATATTGGCTTAGTAAAATGCTGATTGGATAGTAGCCAGCCAGGAAGTATAGGCAAGGAGACCAGAAGACTAACAGAGGAAGCAAGATGAGAATGCCTCACTAAAAAAAGGTACCAAGCCACATGGCTAAATGTATACAAGAATTATGGGTTAACTTAAGTTGTAAGAGCTAGTTAATAATAAGCCTTAGCTAATAGGCCAAACAGTTTATAATTAATATAAGCCTCTGTGTGTTTCTTTGGAACTGAATAGCTGCACAATCGGGTGGAACAGAAACTGTCTACACCTACCTCTTCCGTTCCTTTCCCCTGTCTCACTACATACTCTCTTCAGTCTTGGGCCAACCCCTGCTGGCTCTTACCGCAGGCTCCTGAGCAGCAGCTGGCTGTGGAGCTGTGGCTGGCTGTGGCTGAGGCTGTGGTACTACCACAGCAGTCTTCTGCTGCAGGGCAGCCTGCTGTGTCATCAGCTGCTGCTGTTGCTGCTGTTGCTGCTGCTGGTAAAAGTTCTGTATCATCTGTTGCTGAGAGCCTCCCTGCGACACCACAGGGAACTGAGCAGTGACTGGTTGCTGGGCTGCTGGATGTCCTGCCTGAAACTGAACAGGAGAGCGGCAAGAAATGAGAAGGTGAATACAAGCCCACACAGAGTCACATTCACAAAAGACTAATGTTTCAATAACTATAAAGCCAATACCGAAGTTAAAAGGAGGGCCCAGCAAAAGTTTGGTAGCTGGGCTAAGTAGTTAAGGACAGGACCCAGGGCATTAGAATCATACCAGCAACATTTGCACTACCAGGCCCTTCCCACTGCACTAGCCTGTTTCCTAGGCATAGTTAAAGGGAAGCAACCAGATTTTTCACTGATTTTTGACTCTGAGGCCTGGAGTGAACAGAAGCAAGGGAAGTATCTTCAGTGCAGAAGAAATCCTTCTTCTAAAGGATTCTGAAGCAGCCAAGAACCAAATGCTTTCCTGTATGAACAGATTGCCTTAGTGATGCTGCCGAAAGGGCAACTGAAATGTTAACCAGTGACTAACACCTATCCAAACCTTTCCAAAGCTATTCCCAACAGATCTCCATTTATGACATTCTGCAGCCTCAAATACCCTGTCACTAGTGATCCTCCTCTACATGTTTTATGGACTCTCACTACATTGTCAAAACTTGTTCCAAAAACTTGTGGGCTCAAGCCACCCTTTTACTATCAGCTTCCCAAGTAGCTGGGGATAAAAATGCACCCTACACCCATCTTCCTAGCACTTCTTTTATGTCTCTCTAATCTTTGCTGCTTTAAACTACTTGCTAGGTACACTAACAAAGCTCAAAATGAGAGTCTGCTAATATAAAAGCAAAGTCTTAGAAAATCACCAAAACTGCTACTGAGTTAAATGGAATAGTTCTGGATGTGAACAACACATAAGAGTATAAGAGCTTGTTTACAGCAATAATCAAGACCCACCCACCAAGGACTCAGAGGGCTGTGGTCTGTCCTTAAGGGTAGCACAGAGAACACTCTAAAGAAGAAAATAGAAATTAGGAGTATATCTTTGCAAGAATGAAAGGAAAGAATTTTATAGATCTAACTTTAAAACTATTTAATTATTTTATACATTCATAAAACAAAACTGACCCAAAATGTAGAAAGCAAAATTGAAATAAATTCAACAGTCTATGTATCCAATTGGCAACTACTCTGCTGAAAATAATGTGCTGAATAATCTAAGGTTGCCAAGCATGGTGGTACATGTTTGTAATCCTTTGACTCAGAAGGCTGAGGCAGGATGACTACAACAATTTCAGGCCCAGTTGGAGCTACAGTATGAGCTCCACAACCGATAGCAACAAAAAGATCTTTAGGCGATAAAAACAACAAAAACTAAGAAGTTAAACAAAAATCTTTTAAATTATGATTCTGAATCAGATGTATAAATCTGTATATATGTTTTCTAATAACACAAATACATTTCTAAGTATCTACTAATAAGTCCTAGAAACAATTACCAATATGACCCAATAGCAAGCAGTCATTTTTAAAGCCAACTGTGGTTTCTAATTATCATTCCCATTAAAAAAAATCTGATCTTGAGTGAAATGGATGACTCTAAATTAATAGCAGAATGATCCTGGCACAGTCATTACTCTGGATAAACATAATAATTAACCACTAGAGTCACATCCAAAGGATCTAGAAGTCAGTCTGAAACAACTTGAGCAATCTGAGCATGTTTTAAAATGGAGACACATACAAATTCATGAAGTTACAATTGATATGGGATGCCCTTCTGTATATGTGTTGCTTTTATTGGTTGATGAGAAAAGCTATTTTGGTCAATGGCTTGGCAGAGTAAAGTCAGTGGGAAATCTAAACAGCGAGAGAGAAAGAGAGATAGATAGAGAGGAGTGGGGGGAGAGAAGGCAGAGTCAAGGAGATGCCATATAGCCACCAAGGAGAAAAGTGCCAGAACCTTAACAGGAAGCCACAGCCTTGTGGTAATACATAGATTAATAGAAATGGGTTAATTTAAGTTGTAAGAGCTACTTAATAATAAGTCTGAGCTAATAGTCCAAACAGTTTATAATTAATATGAGTTTCTAGGTGTTTCTTTGGGAATGAATGGCTGCAGGATCAGGCAGAACAGAAACTTCCACCTACAAATGGTGTCCAAACATTTGGGAAGAATTTCCACATAAAGCCTAAGGGGGAAAAAAAAAGGATTCTAGACAGACAAGAACAAAGTCAAGTGCAGCTGATTGGTAATCATCTTTTCTCTAGTAAGCTCTGTTTCCAAGAGCCAAGCAGAGGCACAACTCCTTTAAGAGAGGCTTCCTGACTTAGCACTGGTGGCAAAATTCTCACATCTTTTAAGAGGCCCTACCACCAAACACCTAAATGGTGTTTATGAGCAGAGGTATCAGGTTTCTTTGGTGGTGGCATGGACCTAAAAACTGCACAGAGTTGTGGCAATAAATCTAGCTCCTGATGTACCTCTGCCATGAAGCTAAGCTCTCAAAATGCTAAGGAATGGGCGGAGCCAGCTGCCAAAGCCACAGCTTTAATCCTAGCCATGCTGTTTAGCAAACTAAAGACTCATATGCTCAGAAAAAGAAAGCTGTATACAGTAAAGACAGATTCAGACAGAAAAAAAAAAAGAACTCTAAATGGTTTTCAGTGTGTTTAAGAATATACACAGGCTTGGGAAAGAAAAGAAAATGAATAGAGAAAGTTCACATGCCTTTAATCCCAGCATTTGGGAGGCAAAGGCAGGCGCATCTCTGTGAGTTCAAGTCAAGCCTGGTCTACAGAGTGAGATCCAGGACAGCCAAAGATACACAGAGAAACCCTTTCTCAAAAAAGCAAAAATTAAAAATTAAAATAAAAGAAATAGAGGGGAGAAAAATCACATAAAGATGAAAAATACACAAAGAATGTGGATATTGTATGTTACTGTGTTGTTTTTGAATTGCTTGACTGCTAAGGAGCAGCAGCTACTAAAAGACATTTGATTATAAATGCTGCTGAATTAATCCAACCTATATATTTTGAAAATGCCTTGACTCTAGAATTTAAGTCAAAAGATATGCTACTTTGGAGAAGAGGTTTTGTTTTTGTTTCCACAGGAAATGAGAGGCTGTGGATTCATTCTGGGTTAAGAAAAATAAGGTTTGATCAAGGAAGACTCCCCTAAAAAATTTCCAATGGAAACAGATGACCCAGATGATCCAACATTTAAGAGCACCTCTGTTGCAGTTTTCTCTGAGTTCTACATCCAGAACAGCTTCAAGACTGCTGGCTGAGATGATCCAGCCTCACAGAATACTCCCTCCAGCCAGGACTAGACTATAATCCTCAATTTTCTTTGGGTCCCCATAAGATTATCAGCACCCCAATCAGCAGAAAGTAGCCTAGAAACTATGTCCACATTTCAAAAAAAAATGGATTGTGGATGTTTGTTTAGCATGTTGGTTACAAGTTGTTATGGATAAAGGTCAGAAAAAGAGCTAAACAAAAGAGATTAGATTCAAGGTTTTTGTTTTTTTTTTAAAAAGGGGAACTGTTATAGGATAATGCTGGGTAGCTACACAGATGATAAAAGTAGCACTTTATAGCTGGTAAGATGGCTTAGTGGGCAAAGGCACCTGCTGTCAAGAAGCCTGATAACCTGAGTTTGATGTCAATGACCTACTTGTCATTTTGCCATCCAAAGTAGGTTTAAGGACTTGGGAAATTTCAGCAATGGTTGATAATCAAAAGAGGAAAATTGAAAAAAAACAAATGAAACAGAAAACACCTAAGCACATTGATGTCGAAGAGACAGCACTGGCTGCCCAATAGGATGTAACAGGAAGAACAAAGAACAAAGAACTAAATCCCCAGTTTAGGTCTGGTGAGAGAGCTTAGGAACTCAGTGCATTTGCAGCCAAGTCTGGAAACCTGGTTCTATCCCTGGAACCCAATGATAGATAGAGAATGAATAGACCCTTGAAAGTTGTCCTTTGAACTTCACAAGCATGCCATCGTGCACAAGGTCACATATATATACAGACACACACACAGACACACACACTAAATGAAACATGTTTAATATGTATCTTAAAAATTGACAGTTTACATAGTGGATGGTGAAATATACAAAACGTCACCAAAGGGTAATCAAGTCAAATTCAAATATGCAAAATTTCAAGGAAAATCCAGTTTCTTCAAAAAGCACATAGTAAAAGAGATAAGAGAGGATATAAAAGATATATAAACCTCTCCCTGTGGCCAAAGAGTTGGATCAGAGATTAAGAACACTTGTTGAAGTTCAGATTCTAGCACCCATATAACAAGTCAGGTGTCCCACAAATGCCTGTAACTCTAATTGCTCTTCTTGCCTCCAAGTGCTCACAATTGTATGCACTCAAATATACACACATGCATACACTCATACACATACATATATGCAGTTTTTTAAAGAAATCAATCATTATAAAATAAAGACATTCAATGCTAATAACAAATACAGTAATGAAAAACACAAAAATAATGGAAAATAATATATTCCAACTAAATAGGATACACGGACCTTGTTTGGGTCCTCATCTACCCAAGAAAATTTAAGTATCTGAAACAGCCTGACACTATTGTATATTGTGTGCTAATAGAATATCATTGTTATTTTTCCCACTGTATCTCTTTAGAAAGTAGCTCCTTCATTGAGGGTACTAAGCTAGAGGAGTAAACTCCCCAAAGCTTGAGGACAACGCTGAAAGGCCTAAGAGTTATTAATTTGCACCTTGGTACTTCAGTTTCTACATCTATGAGAAGTGATGATGCACTGATAAGCGGGTCTTAGCCACCCAAGCACTTCCCAAGAAAGATGCATGTATCTAGCAGGTCTTCTAGTAGAAACAATTCCACTATGCAAAGCAAGAATCATATAGACCTCCTCACCTGCTGTGTCTGAGCCTGCTGCTGCTGCTGCTGCTGCTGCTGCTGCTGCTGGTAAAAGGTGCCTGTTGGCTGCTGTGGCTGCTGCTGCTGTTGTTGCTGCTGTTTGAGGAGGAGCTGCTGCTGGTGCTGGGGAGTGGCCTGGGCCTGGGTAGGCAGACCTTGGGTCTGGGTAGAAGGTGTCTGCTGTGGGGTGGATGGAGCCTGTGACTGCTTGGGCTGAGATTGCTGAAGAGGTTGACTAGGTGTGGGTTGGGCTTTAGGTTGGGGAACACTGGCTAGAAGGCCAGGTTGACTGCTGGGTCCTGCAAGGAAAACAAACTCCATGTAAGGGTTCAGAACTCTACCAGACAAAAATGGCTTCCTGATTTGCCACCTGAGAAATAGTAGACACAGGGACACTGTCCCAAGCTTTGTCTGTTTTTCACCATTCTGCCATTTATGATGTTCTATTTGAAACAGATTTCCATGTTTTCCAAATCGTGTGCTTTCAGTATTTCAAACCCAGGTGGAATTATGAGATTCAACACTTGTTTCCTTCAGAGGGGTTTCCCTTATCCATAATCCCATTTAGTCAACTAGTTCTGTAGTCAGCACCTTTAGTCTCCTTTATATACACACAACTGACCATTGCCACTAAACATAGTCTTTGTACCAGCTTGCATACCCACAGCAAAAGCATTCTTTGATATTTCATGAAGAGCTTTCACAACTAGCATCGAGATGTCTGGCTGTATATAGATGGCCACCAAATTTATCAGAAATTGTTCCTGGTAAAGGATGGGATAGCTGTGCTCTGTGACTTGTTATTTTGGATCAATCCCCATTTGAAACAAAGCTCACTTCTTTTATTATAACAGAATACTAGAACAGAGGATTATAAATACTCTAATAAATGTAGCATAAATGAAATGCTATTCTTCTATAGTTATCAAAAAAGAAGTAAGCTTTGTTTCTTTAAAGGAGGGGTAAATATATAAAACAAAGAAATAGAATGGAGTAGATAAACCAAAGGACCAATAAGAAAATAAATGCAGGCTTCAGAGGTCTTGGAGATCCACCCAAGTACAGAAAGAAGTTCCTCATTTTGCAGTCACTGAATATACACATTCACTGGTAACTCGGCCCATTGTTCTTTAGGCTGTTGCCTTCTAATACTATCATCAAGAAGCACTGACCTGCAGCCTGAGGTAGGGGCTGAACAGTGGCCCTTTTACGAGGAGTCAGGGCTGGCTGAATGGGAAGAATTCCTGGGTTTGGCTGAGTCTGCCCAGCCTTAGGCCTCTGGCGGGGTGCGATTGAAGTCTCTGTGGTGGGAATGGGATCTGTCAGTCTAGAAAAGGAAAAACAACATTGCTGTTAAAATGTGGGAAAACCGAGAAGATAGGCAGAACACACGTTATTTTACCCTCAACATTCTTTTAAACCATTTAGATTTGCTTAATCAACATGTCCCTAAATGCCAACTCACCTACAAAGGCAAACACATCAAATTAACATCTTAACTCTCATCAGCAACCTTAAAGCCAAGAAAGCACAGAATGATACATTTCAAACTCTGAAAATATATAACTCCTAATCAAAATTACCAGCAAAGCAATCTTTAAACATGAGGGGAGGTGTGTATGAGCTATGAGGGACACCTGAAGGTCAGAAAACAACAACTTTGAGTGTTGATTCTCCCATTCTACTGAGTCTGACACAGGGTTTCTCTTGTACAGTACTGAATACAGCAGGCTAGCTGGTCTGTCAACTCCTTGTAATTCTCCTATGTCTGCCTTTCATCTCCTGGTAGGGGCATGTCAGGATTACAGACACATGACCTACTACATCCAGCTTTTACATGGGTTCTGCCAAGTACATTACCTAGTAGGCCAAATCCCCATTCCTGACAAGCACAAACTAAAGGAGCTCATGATCACCAACCCAGCTAAAAATCGCACAGTTCACAATCATGACCTGCCTGTATGTTATGCTTGTACAAGAGTGGCACAAACACCATAGAAATAAACAACTATTCTCTGATGAAGCTTAAGGCTCACTCCACAAGACAGAAACTATGCCTGACAGGTGACCAGAACCTGAGACTAGATAGGCCCTGGGTCAAGGGGGAAAACCAAATACTACTGTTCTGATAAAGGAACACAGCAATAAAATGACTGCTAACGACATAGTCTGCTTTATCTATATATTAGTGTCTTGCTCAGCCATCATCAGAGAAGCTTTCTCTTGCTGCAGTAAATGGGAAATAACAGAGGCCCACAACTGGACACTATGCAGAGAGTCAGAAAATTCAGAACACTCAGTCCTAAACAGGATGTCTTCATCAAATCCCTCCCCTCGGGGCTCAGGAGCGAGGCAGAAGAGGAGAGGAAAAGATCATAAGAGTCAAAGGGGATGGAGGGCACCAAGAAAATGTGTCTTCAGACAAAACAGGTCTGATGAGCATAGGAACTAGCAAAAACTATGGCAACAAACACAGGGTCAAGATAGATGGAGTTCTAGCACTGAGATGGGAAAGTGGACAGGCTGTCCCATTCTTTACCAAGAAGCTATCTCCAATTGACAACCACTTACAAAGGAAAAATTAGGTTTCTCCAATAAAGTCTCACTGGATATACAAACCACACTTAAGGGTAGGTACCAAAGCCCAGAAGATAACCAATGCAAAATGCACTCAATGGTGTTTTTCTACATTTTCTTGTCTCATATTGCTTTCTTTGGTATATTTTTTAATCTTACTTGTACATTAATTATGGTTCCCAATTTTGTGTTTTGATGAGTTTTTTTTTTGGTGTGTGTGCATCTGTATATATATATATATATGTGTGTGTGTGTGTGTGTGTGTGTGTGTGTGTGTTTCTTGTGCTTCCTTGTTTTCCCCCCTTTTTTATTATTATTTTTCATTTTATTTATTTGTTTTGGGGTTTTCGTTGTTTTTTGTTGTTTATTTTGTTTTGTTTTGAGATAGGGTTTCTCTGTGTCCTTGGCTGTCCTGAAATTCTGTAGACTGGACTGGTCTTGAACTCACAGCGATCCTCCTGCCTCTGACTCCTAAGTGTTGGGATTAAGGTGTGTGCCACCACTGCTGACTGACTCACTCTCTCCCTCTCTTTGGCTGGGTTTTTTTTTTCCTAAAGAAAGAGAGAAAAGAAAGGTGTAGAGTTGGATGGGTAGGGAGGTGAAGAGAATCTGGGAGATGGGGGAGGAACCCAGTGACCAGAATATAATGTATAAATTTTCAATACAAAATGGTGTGGGAGAATTATCTGTATTCTGTCAATCATATTTTAATAAAACGCTGATTGGCCAGGCAGGCAGTATAGGCAGGAAAGCCAGACAGGAAGTAGAGGTGGAGAAAAGAGACTGGGAGTATTCTAGGAAGCAGGAAGCTCCCTCGGTCACTCCTGCACAGATCACCGAAGCAGCAACATGTGAGCTGACAGCTGAAAAAGGTACCAAGCCATATGGCTAACATAGATCAGAATAATGGGGTAACATAAGTTATAAGGACTAATAAGTAGCCTGACCTAATGAGCCAGTCAGCTTTAGAACTTATAGAGATCTCTGTGTGATTGATTTCTCTTTGGGGCATGCCAGCTGTGGGGTACCGGGTGGGACAGATACCCCAACAAGCTGGCCGTCATGCTACAACAAAAAAATAATTAAACTCTTTCATCACCAAACACAGAATTTCCAGAATATACTCTGGGCAATGGTTGGGGCAGAGATTTTTCACACAGAGAACTTAAACTTGGTTAAAACTTGCTGTTATAATGGGCTCTCTATGGACTGGAGAGAAGGCTCCGTAGTTAACGAGTGTTTGCTACTCTTTCACACGACCTGATCAGTATCTACATAGAGTAACTCACAACAGTCCAAAACTCCAACTCCGGGGGATCTGATGACTTCTTCTGACCTTTGTGGGCACCTGTACTCACATGGACATACCATCACACATAAACAAAACAAAACTTTTTAAAAGGAGGGGGATCTCTCTATAGTGAAAGGCATGCAGATGAACAAACACAGTAAGACAAATGGAAGAAATAAGCAAAGAGTCCAAAATGAAGAGTTTAAAATTGGGGAGAGTGACAGGAACACCATTTTTCAAATATGCAGACTCTTTTCTTTTCCACAGTAATAAATTTTCAGTTGGACACAGAGTCACACAGGACCACATAGCACAGCCTCTTTCGCAACCTGAAATGGCCAAGCTCTGCCTGTATACAGAACAGAGCAGATGACTATCTGGCATTTCCTAGAAACTTTAAGGAATAACAGTCTCTGACTATTTCTTGATTTTGCAGATTTGAATATGGATGCTGCCACATTAACCCAAGAGGTCATGGTTATGTAATAAGGTGGCAAAGTGATAAACCTGGGACCCTAGAGCTTCATGGAGCAGAACTACCAAACTAGCTGTGGGGGTCTGGTTAAGATGTCCCCATAGTCTCAGACATTTGAATACTTGGTTCCCAGTGGTCATGCTATTTACAGAGGAAGTATGTCACTGGGGGTAGGTTTTGAGAGCTTAGGGCCTTGCTTTCCTTGCACTTGCTCTCTGCTTTCTGCTTGCAGTAAAAGATGTGAGAGCCCAGCATCTTGTTCCAGCCACTATGCTTGCTGCTTGCTGCCATTCTCCCTTTGGAACTATAAGCCTGAATAAAATACATTCTTCTGTAAACTGTTTTGGTCTTGGCTCAATGAATAAAAGCACATAATGCTTTTGCGGAGGTCCTGAGAGTTCAGTTCTCAGGATTCATGTTAGGTGACTCACAACTCCTTGTAACTCCAATTCCAGGGGATCCACTATCTTCTTCTCACCTCTAGGTGCACCTACACTCATAAGCATATAAATCTGTTTACCCATGCACATTTACACTTAAATAAATAATCAAATAAATATTTAAGAACTACATATTGTTATCCACAGTCATTATTTACACAGTATGTTACTAGCATTTCCTTGCCATTGGAAGAATAATAGGAAAAGGAGGGGCAGAGAACCTCCTAGTCACCCTCAGAATTGTTCATTTGGAATCCAAGTGTCTGGCAGATTCTGACCTGTGACTGGTGTGAAAATCAATCTAAAAATCTAGTCCAATATAGCAAGCATGAAACCTTATTTCCCAAATAGACTGACTGCTCTCAGGCCCTAAATCCTAAGTGTTGTGGGATGTTAGTTGAAAATGTTACATTTGTTTATGCTGTGGAACATTTGTTTAATGATGCAAAGATGTGTTGAATTCCTTTATGTTGCATTTGTTTAACTCTGTGAAGGTGTGTTACTTTGACTTCTAAAACACATGATTGGTCTAACAAAGAGCTGAACGGCCAATAGCAAGGCAGGAGAAAGGATAGATGGGACTGCCAGACAGAAAATAAATAAATAGAAATCTGGGAAAGGAAGATTGAGGAGCAAGAAAAGAAGGGGCCAGCCACACAGCCAGCCACAGAGTAAAAAGAAGAGAAAAGATATAGAGAAATAGAGAAAGGTAAAAGCCCAGAGGCAAAAGATAGACAGGAAGGAAAGCTGCTAGCAGCAAGCCAAGCTAAGGTCAGGCATTCATAAGTAAGAATAAGACTCTATGTATGATTATTTGGGAGCTGGGCGGCAGGTCCCCCAAAGAGTAATGAGTAACAACCAACTACACCCAAGTGCAGGTACTCCAGTAGGAAAGAACACTTCTGCTAGCTGACTCTGGGATGAGGACTTCAGCCATCCCTTCTGAAACGGTATAGTGATCTGGGTCATATCTACCCATCTTCCCCTTCCTCTCTGAAGTGAGACTTAGACCTCCCACCACCGTTCCAAACTCTCCTGGCTTGCTCCCTGTCTCCTCTGACATGGGTATCTTCCTTTATTTGCTTAACTCTTTCTTGATGAATGCTCTTGAAAACCCTAAGTGACTCCATCCAGTGCGATTAGCTAAGACCTAGAAAGATCTTCTGCTGTTCATGGACTTTCATTTCAACTGCACTTTCCTAATATGGCTGGAGCCAAAGAAAGGAATGTGTCAGACTAGGGGGTAAACATGGCTAATCAGAAACAGATTAGGATAATTCTCTACCAGCAACCCTTAAAGTCTGGCATTGCCTCATCCCAGAAAGCCCCTGTATCTACTGCCATGCGGTGGACACATCTGTGAGGTTACTGATTCCTTTCAAATGTAGATCTTAGTATTTTATTATATCCCTCTTGGCATTCCCAAAGAACAATTTCTGCTGAGGGAGATTCCTTTCCTGATCTGGGCAGCCTCTAGTCATAGCCACACAGAACGCCAGCAGCAACCACCTCCATTGCAGCTGGCACCAAGCACAATGCAAGCTCCTGAGGGCATTTCTTACCTGGCCTTTGGCTGGGTCTTTTTTACAGCTGCCTCACTGGCTTTCACTGGTTCAGGAAGTTTTGCAGGAATGGGAGAGTTCTAAAAAGTTGAAAGAAAAAAAAAGCATATGGATTTCTTTGTAAATAATAAGCATTCCGAGGGCAGATATAATGGCCAGTGATAGTAATCTCAAGACTTGGGAGACTGAGGCAGGATCATAAAATCAAAGTCAGTCTGGGCTATACAGCAGGATCCTATTTTAAAACATAAAATAAAAATAAAAACTCCAGACAAGGAACAACCAGTCTGACTAGGGTTAATGGAAGTAGCATTTAGGGTCTTCTAATATGACTTCCAGGACCAAAACAGCGATTTCCCATTTCCCTCTGAGAGGAAAGGAAAGGTAGACTAATGCATGAGATGCATCAAGGAAGCAAAATGCCCGTGAAGAGAGAAAGAGCAGCAAGGTGAAAGAGCCTTGCCTCAGGAAAACAAGGCAACTGATCACTCTGGGGACATACAACAGCCATGCTGCTCTCAGAGAACTGTGGTCACTCTACTCAGCTCAATCCCCAGGAATCTGGGGAAGGAGTTGTTCAGTGTAGTTGTCTCGGTTTCATAATTAAACTCCATGGGAAAATTGGATTCTCTTTATAGTAACTGATTTACTTGAATGTCCTGCTATGGGTAAAGAAAGGGACATTAATATTCATTGAATCCAGATATTAACACCCATAATGACTTGAAAGCAACAATCTGCTGTTTATTTCCTTTAAATAGCACCATCTTCATAAACTCATGGCAGCTGTATTAATAAGACCTACCAAAGATCAAGTTAATCAAAATTCTAGGGACCCATGAGGCCCCACCACATCTTGTTGAGGAGTTGAGCAGTTGATGCCTGTTGAGGGAGAGGCATTTGTCTTTGGAGACGTAACAACAGTAGGTAGCCAGAGCTCAGGTGGACAGTCCCACATCTGTGGGTATATGAGCACAACTGATAGAGTTCAGTAGAAAAAAAAAAAAAAAAACAAAGAAAGAAAAAGGAAATGACATGGATTTTGGAGGGGGATGGGTTAGAGAGGATCCTAGGGGTGTGAAAGGAACTAGGATGGATCTGATCAAGTATGGTGTAAACATGTATGAAATTCTCAAAGAACAAATAAAAACATCCTTAAAAATTGTAAATCCTTTTAAAAAGCACCATTCACATACCTGTACATTTGGAACTGGGCATTCTTTCTTGAGCAGTTTAAATGAGAAGTAGGAAACCTGGTAAATATCCGGCCTTTTGTCAGGGTCTGGTTCCAACATATACCCTAAGACAAACATACATGAACTTATTCCATAATATCTTAAGAGTTGTTGTATCACTGAACTTTTAGGTAACTGAACTTTTCTACTATTGAAGTTGGGTTGTGTTTTAAGTTTCAATTCTCTTAAAAGTCAGACAGTTCAATTAGCCCTTTTCATAGAAAGGGAAACAAGAAAACTACTTGAGCTATAGCAAAGCTACTTGAGGTTCATATTCTGTGCCTGGAATGTCAGAGGCTCACACTCTTGACATAAAAATGAACAGCTTCATATTCTAAGACTTAGAATGTGCCATAGTTTTGCATATGGTTTCCTAGCTCATTTCCTCTGTTAAGAAAATGACTGTTGATAAATACAGCCAAATGTCAAGTATCATGAACTCAGGGTTTGGTAGAAGACAATCTCTGTGTTCTGTCTCCAGGTCTAAAAAACAAACTCATGAATTTACTTACTACTCTTGTTGGAGATATAAGTGGGTTTTTAGTTTGAGGAAAATTAGCAAGTTAACATACTAAGCTCTATAGATTGTCTGTTTCCAGGACTTTCAAGTGTCTCTGACACAGGAGAAATCTTTGAGAAGATGCAGGCATATGTGTAAATACATGCAAAATGAGTCGAGACAGTTTACTATGTGAGGAACAAATAAACAGGACACTAAGTTCAGAAAAGATCTGTGAGGTGGAAGCCTCAAATGGCTGTGTCAAAGAGACAGAATAAAAATTAGTCATGGGAGAACAGAGAAAACATCAGTCCAGGTGAGAGGAAAAATGTTTGGGTGGGACAGAAAAATAATACAAAAGACCCTAAACACCATGCTTAGACTCAGGACCCAATTGTGGAACCATTAGCAAGCCACTCCAGTTTACTGAATGGGACACGAAAAGGTGACATCTTCTAGGAATAATCCGGGTGACTGGAAGAATGAAGAGAGAGTAGAGAAGCTGGGGCAACGTACCAGGTCATGATCTACCAGAATCTGTACATTCTTTTTTTTTTTTTTTTTTTTTTTTTTTGGTTTTTCGAGACCGGGTTTCTATGTAGCTTTGGAGCCTGTCCTGGAACTATCTCTTGCAGACCAGGCTGGCCTCAAACTCACAGAGATCCGCCTGCCTCTGCCTCCTGAGTGATAGGATTAAAGGCGTGCGCCACCACCTCCCAGCTGAGTCTGTACATTCTTTAGTGACAATGAGGGGAACCAAGACAAGTGATTAAAAAGAATCAATGCAGCTTTGGTCAGCTCCTTCCTTCTTTCTTGCTCTTTCAGATCCAAAGAAAATCGTCTATGTAATCTATCCAGGTGTGGATGGCAATACCACCAAAAGAAAGTGAACAAAAGATTCTGGGGAAAGGAATTGGGGAGGCAACAAGGTGCTTAATTTGAGGCCTACAAGTTTAGACTCTTCAAATAGTTTGCACACTAATAGCGTCCAGAAAAGGGGTCAGTACTACAGTCACTCATAAAGAGCTGTTTTTCTGACATGAATTCACTGTTATAGATGATAGAAAGGAAAAGTAGAAAAGAAAAAAAGAAAAAGCTGGCTCTTCTCGCCCAGTTCCTTCCACACCTGCAAACAATCTGACAGTCCTCAAGGTTCACATTCCTATCCTACACACACCCCATCCTCCTGCTTACTGAGGACTGACACAATGGAAAGGGTAGCTGTGGAACCTCCAGAATCATGAACTTCAGTAAATTATCCTGCTTCCTGTGGGGAGTAGGAACAATGACTCTTAAAATTTACAGGTTATGCCAAGTGCATACCTTTAATCCCAGAAACTCAGGAGGCAGGAGACAGGCAAATCTCTGTGAGTTTGAGGCCAAGACTGGTCTACATAGTAAGTTCCAGGACAGTCAGAGCTACATAGTGAGACACTATCTCAAATTAAACAAACAAGCAAACAAACGAATGAATAAATGCAGGTCCACCAAACCTACAGGTTTTGAGAAGTAGGGGAGGTATAAGTAGGTCTTAACACAGGTCACTTGTCTGTCTCTCAAACTGAGTAGCTCAGGATTTATGGTCTATGATACATTTTCAATCTTGACTGCTAAATGTCTTGACCAGCATTTTTAAAAACGTCTTTTTTTTTTAATCTGTTTTGCCAGGCCTGGTGGCACACGCCTTTAATCCCAGCACTTGGGAGGCAGAGGCAGGCAGATCTCAGTGAGTTTGAGGTTGGGCTTGTCTACAAAGTGTGTTCCAGAACAGCCAGAGATGATACACAGAGAAACCCTGTCTTGAAAAACCAAAGAAAAAAGAAAAGGAAAAGTGATAAAGAAAAAATAAAGAAAAAGAAACAAAAAAATCTGTTTCTTAGCATTTTAGTACAGGTTCTGGTACAAAGATTACTTTTCTGCCATCTGGTTAATGGATGTTGGTACATATGCTGTCTACCATAACACAAAGAAATGAAAATCTTCAGAATTTTAAACAAAACACTCAATTTAGATGCTTGTTGTAAAAATTCAGTGATAACCTAAATAAGAGGAAAAACCTGGCTCCATGGAGCTATATGGTCTTAATTACACATTCATTGCAGTACTGCAATCATGCTCACTTGAGCTGCTTCCAGCTTTGCAAAGATGAATTTCTTATCCCTTGATGTGAGTCAGCTGGACTCTGAGCTCTCCCATAGATTGCAGCAGAACACATCAGCATCATGCTGATCAGAACACAACTGCCATTCCCATTTGTGTGGCTGCCTCAGTCACGAAGCAGAGTTTAGTTTTCCAGCAAAAAGACCAACTTCTCTACGTGAACACTGCCATGTTATCACTGTCGCCAGCAGTATCAAACGATTTCTTTATTATGGCACTCAACCTTGTTTCCAGAATTTAACCTCTTTATCTTCCAACCCACTCCTGGTGATTAGAAATACAAATATGAAACTGGAAACTTGAAATACTTACTAATAAGGCAGTGCATGTCTTGAGAATATCGAGAGTTATCGGGAATTGTGAAGCTTCCATCACAAATTGCCACCTGGCTCTCCCCAAATGGCAAAGTGAAGTAGCATAATTTATACAATAAACAGCCAAGAGCCTAAAAAATAAGAAAGCAGATTGCAACTTGTGGTTTATTTGCTGTAAAGCCAGTTATCCGCTCAGGTAGCAGCCGCATTTCCCAGCAGAAACAAACCCCACATAGTATCATTACCTATGCAATACTTGAATTTAGAACCCAGAGTGACAATCTAGCATCCAAGTTATACTTTTTATCTATGATTAGGAAAGACTATTTCACCTGCTTTGTTCTTTAGAAGTATACCACACAAATTAAAAGCACTGGAACAACATGCAAGCAGAGTTTTGTTTTTGGTTCTTGTTATTATTTATTTATTTTTAACCCATTTTCCAAAAAACAATGTCTGTCCCCTCATATCAAGATCAGCATCAAGGAAGCTGGAGAGATGGCTCAGTGGATAAGAGCACTGGCTGCTCTTCCAGAGGACCCAAATTCAATATCCACTACCTACATGGTGGCTCACAACTATCTGTAACATCAGGTCCAGGGGATCCAACATTGTCTTCTGAGGACACTGTATATACATGGTACACAGACACAAGCAGACAAACATACATACACATAAAATAATAAAAATAAAATAAAATAAAATAAAAACATGGTCATCAACAGTGGACAACACTGTGTACTAGCCCCTGGTTTGTTAAGCTCAGGAGTCCAGTCGAGGTCTGCTGACATATAGGGTGTGGATGGTTTAGCTGACACATACCCAAATGTCTGCCTTCGTAGTGATGATTTTGCCACTGTACAAGTTGACCATTTCTGGGGCTCGGTAGGAGAGCGTTGTATATCTACAATCAAGAGATCCATGGTTTGTTAAATATATCAATGTTATAATTAAAACCAAGGAGAAGCGATTTTTTTTTCACATTACTAGAATCCAATTCTCTGGCAGCAATCTGCAGAAGAGCAAATTAAATATTAGCACAGATGAAAATGAAAGATTCTCCTTGGTACAATGTCATCACATTCTCTCACAGAAGACCTTCTACTCCTAGGACACTGGGGTTCTGGGATGTTCAGACACAAATGCACTAAATAAAATCCTAAAAGCAGCCCTTTTGGGGGGTCTTCAAATGACAAAATTTTTTTCCCTATAAGTCACTGTAGTTTAATACTATGTTTTGATGGTTAGTTTTTAAAATAGTAATTCCTTAACACGATACACAAATGAAACATAAGTAGGGTATTCTGAAAGTAAGACCTAGCTGGGGTAAGGATTTCATGAGTTCTTTTCTAGGGGAGGGTAATGTATGTAGTGTGCATGTTCACATGTGTGCCTATGTATATGGAGAACAAGTTGATATTGTCTTCCTCCACTGCTTTCAACTTTATGTCTTGAGACTTGCTGATACGAGGCTAGCTATCCAGCTAGATCCAGGGAGTACCTGTCTCCACCTTCCAAGGGCTGGGAATACAGACAGGCCATTGTGCCCACCAGGCTTTTCTATGAGTGCTAAGGATCCAAACTCTGGTCCTCACATTCGCATGGCAAACATTTTATACACTCTGTCGTCGTTCCAGCACCGAATTATGGGTTCTTACAGTGTTCTCATCTTTGACTCAAAGAAACAGTAGTGTAGGTACTTGTCCTAAGTGAATATCTTGCTGTTACTAAACACTCAACTATGCTGCTCTGGTATCTGGCCCCAGGAGGATTTCTTTGGGTGTCTTGTCAGGGCCTTGGACCAGAAGAGGTCATGCTTCAGGCATGGTGACATGAATGACACACAGATGGGACAGAGGCTCACCATCTGCAAGGACATGATGGATAGCTGATTTACTAGAAGCCATAGTGAGTGTATTGTGCCTGGCAAACCCAACATTGTGGGCATGAGGCTCGCAGAGGAATCAAAAATCTAAAGAGACTCCCATCAGGTTCCTCATTCAATAACTGTAGAGGTTTCTGTAGCTCTATTTACCATAAATTCCACTAGAGCATGGTTGAGTTCCTCATGAAAAAGGAGGCAGCAATTTGAGTTCAGTAGAAAACACATAACTATCTGATTCAGAATGCCACAATGTGACTTCTCTTGGAAATATCATGGCACTTCAATGAGCACATATCGCCATTTAGTCTTTAGTTTTTGAGACAAGGTCTTGCTATTTATTTAGCCCATGCCAGTCTTGAACTTACAATCCTCTTGCCTTAGCTCCAGAGTTTCTAGGGTTACAGGGATATACCACACCTTCCCCACCCTCTCCAGCTACCACTCATCTTTTTATGTAAATTAAAATATGTGTGTATAATGACCACAGGAGCACTGAGAAAGTTTTAAGAGTCTTCTGTCAGTCCACGGGCCAGTTTTCCCTCCTCAGCCTTCAGATACAATCAGACAACCCAACAGTGACCATCACAGAGAAGGGTAGCAGCCAGCACTATGCTCTTCTCACTCTGTTTCCTCCATAAGCGGAAAGAGAGAAAACTCCAGGAAAGGAGAAAAAGCTTACTTCTTAATTTCATCTTCTACAGCATTGACTCCCTCGGCCTGTGGGTTCTGGAATTTGTTGGTGGCACTTCCAAAGTCACACAAGACATAGTGGCCTCGGTCATGCAAGAGGATATTTTCAACCTGAAAAACATTCCCAAACCACCCAATCCAAGATGCCACTTAGTAATGGAAAAAGCTAGTTTCATAGTTACATAACAAAATGTTTCATTTTAACAATCTTATTAGTGTGTACAGAGAAGTTATTTCTCACCATGTATCTTAACAGGACTCACCCCAACAGAAACAAAAGACACAGAGAGGAAGAGGGTAAAATGCAGGCAGAGAGTGAGACAGACGGTACTGCACTGTTGGGAAAACCAGGACCCCATTTTCATGGCTAGCCAGCTACAGCCAGTTGCATCTCTCACCTCTGCAGTAGCAGTGACCATACTTTCAACTCCTGCTCTACTTTCAGTATAGCACGCTCGCCATGATCCCAGCCTCTTACCCAGCTATCAAATAATCATTTGCCTTTCAAACCCAAGGAACAAAAGCCACCTCCTTTTGGAAGCCTCCCCAGGACCCAACTCAGAAAAATACCATTTCCTCATTTTCCTTCAGTGTTTCATTCTCCATGCTATAAATTACTTCACTTGAGTGGGTACGATGTCTTTATTTAATCATTAGATTAAAACTTTCAGAACTGATGTTTTCATATTAGCTACTTCTCAAGGTGACAAAATGCCTAGTAATAAATGAGCAGTTTCTCTATTAGAATTTTATTTGAGGGTTTGGGGCTTTGTTTGTTTGTTTGTTTGAACTTTCAAACAAAGGAAGTCTTAAGGGACTAAGAGTTTTTAACTTAGTGGAGCTTATAAGAACCAAGACCTACAGAAACCCTTATGACAGTGAAAAGAACTCCAAAACAATGGGCACCAGCTAGAGAGATGGCTCAGCAGTTAAGAAAACTTACTGCTCTTAAAGATGACCCAGATCCAATTCCCAGCACAACCATAGTGCTCACAACCACCTGTAACTCCAGGTCCAGGGGAGCCAGCGTCTTTTTCTGACCTCAGTAGGCATCAAACATTCACATGGTGAACAGACATACAGACAATACACACCAAACAAAAATTTTTAATTCCAATTTTTTATTGTTGTTGTTTTGTTTTAGTTTCTAAGTCAGAGTTTCTCTGTATAGTCCTAGTTGCCCTGGAACTCTTTCTATAGACCAGGCCTGAAACTCACAGAGATCTGCTTGCCTCTGCCTTCCGAGTACTGGAATTAAGAGAAAAAAATCTGAGCACAATATTGTCAAGATACACTGATTAGCTCCTGTTGTGCGGAAATGAGCTGACTGGCATGGGGGAAGACAGACCTAGCTATGCATGGCAATAAAATGGCAGACAAAAACCAAAAACCTTGCTCAGTCCTTAATACTGTAGACTCTATGGGCTTTTTCTTCAGCCCCGACAGGCAGACCACTTTGGAAAAACAAAGGAAAGAAGATTATAAGCTCCTCAAAGACAAACATCTCTCAGTCACAGCTGGAATCTAGAATTTGCCCAACTCTACTAGATTTTTGGTACAGATGCTGTTGAATAGAATAAAAAGCAAAACAAAACAAATCACATTTAACAATCTGGTTGGGCACACACACATTCAAGGTCTGCTCATTTTCCAGTCAAGACAGGAGCCAAACACCCAAGTCCCTACTGGTTCTTTAAAAATATCTGACTGAGTAGAAATCCTCTTGTTCCTATTGTTATAAAATTTTCTCTTAATTCTTCTAAAACCTGAATTAAGTATAGTTTTAGTCTATATTTGCTAATTCTAATGATTTAAAATCTTTGCTGCAAGCTGACTGAAGATTATTTCCCACTGAACTTCATATTTGTGCTATCACGAAGAGTTTTAATGTTGTTTTTAAGTTGTGTCCTTTTGAGCTTCACCTGTAGAAAGTCTTTAAAATCTGTTATTCTGCTAGAGAGGATCGAAACGGCCGTGCTAGCAGCACCTCACCTGCACTGCTAACCTTGAGTTATGGAAAGGTGACAGTGATGGCCATGAACCCACATGAAGTAGACAGGTTCTCAGGATGAAAAATTCTTCACTACAGAATTATGAATTGTGGATGACTGTGACAGATTTGTTCCCCAGAGATTAAGGCTAAGGCAGAGAAGTGTTTCTACTATCTCTACCTTTTTATAAAACTTGCCAATTTTATCTATTTACACAAAGAAACAGTCAAACTATACTGAGCATAAACTCACTTTAAGAATCCAAAATAATAATCACAACAAAGTAACAATCATAAATAATAGACATCATTTGATGAGCAGTAGCTACTGCCAGTATTACTTTACTCAGCACAGTTTATGGATTATGATTCCCATCTTGCAGCTGGACAAAGTGAGGCTCGTGGTAATTTGGTCAATACTGTAACATGGCCAGTAAGCAATAGAGCTTGAAGTGAGCCTAAACCATGTAACTCTAGATAAAGATATACAACTCCATTGCTGCCAGGGCAGGAAAGACAGAAGCAGATCACTCAAGACCCCACAACCACCTCCAGCTCTGAGCTGTGGTAGGGATTGTGAGGACATGTGAGGCTTATTGGCAGACTTTCTTAGCTCTTTATATTCAGAAATGCACCTAGAATGGAACTCAAGTCAACAAGAAGTCAGCCATAACTCCTAGCTGATGTTCAGGGTTGCCTTCACTTTCTTCGTCTTGTCTAATCTGTCCCTTTACTCCACTGCTCACTCTCCATTAACCAAGTCTCAGCAATTCGTGAAAATTTTAATGGTAAAACCTTCCACCACTACTCTAAACCATATGTACAATTTACTACCCACAGGAGGGGTTGGAAAGGCCTTCAGGCCAACCTAATCATGCCCACAGGTTACTTATTCTGCAGTCTACATGTTTCTGTTTGTACACAAAATGTCCATCAAAAGGTTCCCTCGTTCACAGCTAGTACACCCAATCATTTACACGCAACTGGATCATGAAAGGATTGATTTCATTAATGAACTGATCCACACATGAGTTCACAGCTAAAATGGGCTTTTAGGAAGTGGATTACTACTTATGTACCCTTAAACGTTCTGTCTGGTTCCCAGTCTTTTCTGGTTTCATTCTGCTTCCGAAGTATGTACCCACCATGATATTCCACCTTGCCTCAGGCTCAAAGCAATGGATAAGAAGACCCTGGACCGAAAACTCCTAACTATAAACCAAAATATTAGGCACTTTATCACAGCAATGAAATCTGGCTACTTTTTCTCCAATGGAAGAGTTGAGCAATTCAATTGAGACTATATTACTAGCATGCCCAAATCATTCCTATCTGCCTTTCTGCTGGCAAAGTTTGCCAATGTTTGATTTGGAAGATGACTCAGAGTTCTTCTACGGATTTGGAGGTGACTACTGACATATTTATGTTTTCCTTGGGTCAGAATGGTGTATTAGTCTATGAGTCCCTCACAGATCCTATTTCAGTGCAGTACTTCAGCAGACATCCTTACTCTGTGAAATCATTTGCTCAGTCTCACACACTTTATAGGACCTACGTGAAAACATGCTCCTCCTAGTTTATGTCTCCCTTTCCAAATCAGATTCTGTACTTGTCATATGGAATGAACATCTATCTAGAAAATTGAAAAGTTAATTCATAATAAATATCATGGTAATTACAGCATCAAAAATCACTCCTTGGGAATGGGAATTAAGCAGACAAAGCAGAGTAAGATGAGGCACACTGCTGGCCTGAAAAGAATGGCACTGTGTGTTCCAGCCACTTTGCCCACTTGAGGAGAGAGTCAGAAACTATGGAGGTAAAATTGCTTGCTGGCACAACTGCATTCTCTGCCCCTTCTCAAAGTATCCTGTGAAAACTGCCTGGGCCAGCCTAGCCACTGCTGGCTACTCTCCGTCATCACCACCACAGCACTCAACAGCGACACTGGACTCAGGGTGGAAGACTTCAAGAGTATTTCTGATGTTGGATCTTAGTTAAATCTGCAAATCTCTTCTGGCTTGTTTCTTATCTGCAAAGTGGGGCTGATAACATTTCTGACACTGTTTCAAGTAAGGGAATATATTTCAAAATAAACTGTAAGTTCCCTGACAAATATAAGATATTACTTCCATTCACTTATGAAAGAAACATGTTTGAATGCCTACAATATCTCAAGTACTCTTCTGGGTCCAGGGATACAAATGTAGAAAAACAAAATCCAATCTCTTCTGGATCTCAAAGTCCAAATGAGGATAAGAAAATATTTATAGCTGTCTGCTATTAAAAGCACTATGAAAAAAATCCCTGCTGATTAAATATAGGTAAACTGAAAAGGAATGCCACTTCAAATGACAATCCTGGAAGGCCTCTCAAACAAGGATATTAGAATGAGAAGCTACAGTCATGGGCCATTTAGGAACAGAACATTCTGAGCAAGAAGCTGCAGCAAAGCCTGGAGATGGGCATGCACCCGAGGGGTTTGATGCATAGGAAGGAGTAAGGTCATGTGACTAGGTCTGCACAGTGCTAAACTGGCAATGTGAGATGGGGGTATTAGAGAGCAGTGCTGTCGCTTCTGGGGAGATGAGATGTGTGCGGCTTTGGAAGATGTAACAGACTTAAGAGGCAAACTAGGCACAGGAATAAAGAACTGAGGCAGGAAAGACATTACTCCCATAATGGACTCAGTATCAAATGCCAGACACTTTTACTCACAGTGGCCATGAAATCCTTACTAAGCTTTGCTGCCCTCCTTTACAGATGGAAGAAGATAAGCCAGTCAAGTCCTCCATTTTTCTGGGGTCAGACTGGTTGGGTAGGATTTAGCAACAGGCTACCTGGCTTTGGAGACCATCCTCAGCCACCAGGCTGATATGTAGCATGAAGTTAATGAGCATGGACACTTCAGGCTGGTAAGAGAGAAGGGAGGGAGCAGACTACAGACAAAGAGACTGAGGAAGAATACTTAGTACAATGAGGGCAGGACATGGAAAGAGGAATAGGTCTAAGCAAGGGCAAATGGCAATGGGAAGGAGTAGGGGAAGGTAACAAGCCAAAAGAGATTAGTGAGGGAGAGAACCGACCAGCATTCACACACCTCTGAGCACTGACAGAGAGAACAGCCACTTGCTTGGACAAAGCCCCGAGGACTCAAGCCTGCGACTGGTTGCCATTTATATTAGTCACCTTTGTATCTGAAGGGAGAAAAGATTTATTTGGGTTCACTATTTCAGGGTATTTTCATCCATCCAGAGGGGAAGGTATGGTAGCACACATCACTTCACAGTGGACTAACCAGGAAGCAGAGAGCAGTTAAAACCGGACCCAGGCTATACTTGCTAAAAGGCCCACCCCTAGGATCCACTTCTTACAGCTAGGCCCTACCTCCTAAAGGCCCTCCAGCTGGGGAAAAGGCATTGAGAACACGAGCCTGTGGGTGACACTTCAGATCCAAACCATAACACCACTGCTTACTGCTGTTCAACACTTCAGCTTTTTGACAGTTCCAAGCCGCTGACCTTGTTTCCCAGCCTAACAGCTTAAGAGCCTTATTAAAACTGTCACTCCTCAATTCTGCACAGAGCCTTTGCTGAGGGGCCTGGAAAGTTACCTCTCTCTAGCCTCTCTTCGCCTCAGTATTACTCCAAACAGCTTAGCATTGAGGCATTTCAGAGAATTTAATACCTCTGAGAAATATGGAGGGTTAGAAGAACACATCTTCAAACCTGCGTTTTTAAACAGTCTCTTTTATGGGGAAAAAAAAAAGACAGCTATGGGTTTTCAATCTTAACATATTTGTTCATCCTGAACTCTTTCTTGCCCTTTCTTAAGTGCACAGACAACTAGCACAAATTAACACAACAAAACAAATTAAAAAAATAAAATCAACCTCTATCTCTATTCTGATCTGATAACTTAATTAGCTGTGGGGACAGCAGTCATGGTTTCTCTTGTAAGGATTCTGCACTGGCAAACAGAAAAGCTGGAATAGGTGATCTTCCCAGATTTGACCCCATGGTTTGCAATGACGACCCTTATCTTTTTTCAAAGAAATGAAAACTACATCTGAGGAGAAGCATTACAATAACATCTGAAGAGAACTCTTCCATAGCACAGTACTTCCCTTGTGATTATTTTCAGGACATAAACAGCCTAAGGACTAGGAACACTTTTGAGTTTAGATCTACAGGGGAAGTGGAAAGAGAGGCCACACTTGTGCTAGGCAGGGCAACAAGGACTTTCCTCAGTTTTGCCTGTGAATATCCTACCCAGGCTAGCCCAGGCTCACACAGAGCAACAGTAGGCATTGCTATCTATATTTTAGAGAAGATAGAACCACAGCTCAGAGAGGCCAAATGATCTGAGGAACAACCTAAGGAGCTTGAGCAAGGGCTAGAGAGCACATGACACCTCAGAAGTCCAGGGAAGAGAGTGCACTGAAGGCGTTAAATGCTGCAGGTAGAGGCAGACTAAGACAAATACTAAAAAGTATCCTTGCATTTGGCAATATCAAGCAATTCTCCTATGCTCTTACAGTTCTGTTGCCATCACCACATGGTGGTATAGAGGCAGAGGGTAATATGAAATCTCACACAAAGAGCTGGATTTAAATTCTGACACTACTGTTTCCTATTTATAAGAATTTGAGCAAGACACACTGTCTCTCTGTGTAAGGCCCTGAGTTTAATCCTTAGTAATAATAACAGTAACTCTCTCTGTGTGTGTGTGTGTATAAAATAAAAGTAAGCCTTATTATTTATAAGCTACTTAAATTAACACATTATACATAAATAAAAACAAAAACATGAGTTCCAACATTTGAAATTTTAAAAATTCTGGAGGTTAGTTAGCAAAGTTGATACCTGTATTATCCTTTTTCTTTGTATTTTCTCTCCCTAACTTCAATGTGCGGCCAGAATTAGAAATTATGTCTTACATACCCCTCAATATGTCTTTCCTCCCCCTCAACACATGCTCCATGCCTGGGACAGACAGAAACAAAAACATATTCAGTAAAAACCCACTCCTCAAGAAGTCAGTCTGTTACCTTCAGGTCCCGGTGGATAATAGGAGTTTTGCACTGATGTAGGCGGGCAACAGCCTCACAGGTGTCACAGAATATCTGCAGGACTTCATTCTCTGTAAAGCCTGTTTGTAGACGCTGGTTCATCAGGTTTACCACCTGTCCTCCTAAGACAGGTACAGAGCAAGGGAAAGGGTATTAACAGGCAGACTCATCACTTGGACCAAGACACTAGCAGCTGTCCAGACAGAAGTGGACTATGGGCCAAGCCAGCACTAAACCCAAGGGGTCTCAAGTCTCTGCTTGAGATTTGCTTTCTTACAACCCAATGTATCCTCTGATGCATTAAAACCAGATTATTTTATTAAGCACTCAGTTGTGAGCAGCCTTCATTGTATCCTCAAGATTAGAAGCCTAACTGACATTATAGTCAGTTATTGCTGCATGGTAGTCATATCTCCACGGTGTAGGAGACGAGGCCACAGCCTCTGTCATGTCTTTCAGGAAAAAATTAGACAGCACAACAGACCCAGAGAGCAGGAAAAAGATGGGTCTGTTTCCACTTTGAAGTTTTTAACTCTTAGGGAATTTAGTTTCTCTGAGAACAAAACACTGGTTACCAATATTAAACTAAATTATCCAGACTTGAGTCCTCCTACTGCCTGGCATCTAAAAGGTCCTACACACACACACACACACACACACACACACACACACACACACACAAAAGGGGGAATAAATTGTCAATTTCAAATTTGGTGATATTTTACATAATCAGATTAATAGTCAACAAATGCCAAAACTAATGGTTAATGTCACATTTATAGGATCAGAATAATTTATGGGTAATATCTTTAAAGTCAGAAAATATTAGTAGCACTAAGGGCAATTACAAATCAGGGTATCAAACAGTAATTCAATGATCCAAACCTATAATATCAGCTACTCAGGCCAAAAGAGCCAAATTTCCAAACAATGGGTGCATAGGATGTCATCAACTCAACACATTTGTGCTACAGTCTGGATTTCTCAAGACAAATGCATGAAATTCCAAGCTTCCATCTATTTGAAGTCGGAAGCAGCAGCATCTGAATGTAGTTTTACCAGGTATTACAGCCCCAGAGCAATAAGAGAGTCACCTATTCACAGACAAATGGGATTCTTTCAGCTCGATCACAGGAGGGCAGTGCTGTGAGTGGAGAAAGGGTAAAGAAGCTGCAATTTTTATAAGCTCCATACACCTTTTATTATATGCCTTCACTGTTTGTTAAACCCTCATAAAGAACTCATTCTTTCTCATTTTCATGTGGTCTCATTTATATATACAACGAAACCTTACTACACTTAATGGAGACAGGGTCTGGAATTACCTATTGCTTTCATTCTTTGTATCACAACCCTTGTAGTCATGAAAATAACCAAGAACATCAATGGACCGCATAGCTTTCCCGTCTGTGAAACCAGAGCATTATCTTCAGGGCGCAATGGACAGTAAGTGAAATGACCCCATTTCCTTGGCCATGAAAGTGTCAGAAACAAAAGCTTCAGTAGGATCAACACACACCTCTGCAGAAGTCCATGAGAATGAGAACTTCCCATACGTCGCCACTGCTTACATTGTTGATACTAGAATCAATGTAGCCCACAATGTTCTTGTGCCCTGAGAGGTCCCTCTGTGAACAAGAATGAAGAAGTACATTGTCAGTTATAGACACAGCAGGGGCAGAATCAGCCAGTTGACTTCATTAGCACAAACAATTTAAATACATAGAGACAACACTAACAACGTGGAAAGGGGAGATTGACAGTCAAGAACAAGTTTTCAGGGGTCTTTGAAAAGCCCAGGCAGATCTCCAATAGCAATTCCACTGTCCTGCTGAACCACAACACTCTCCAAAGCTGAGGCTCTAGAATGGACCACACATAGAACATCCACTTGTACACTGAATTAGTGCTCCACCTAAAGCAGGAGCAAGGACTCCAATACCATCCAGAAATACCACAAAGGACAAAAACCACAACTACTCAAACACGTAAAATTTTAATACAGGAGAAAAAAGAAATCTATATTTCTCTTGTTTATAGGAACAAAAGTAAATTCAGCTTGAATTTTTATTTTCTTCTCTTCTCTACACAGTGTATGTGTAGGACTGAGGATGGAGAAAGATTTACTACCTGCGGCATTTAAAGAGCTCTTTCCAAAGCAGTTTCTTCCCTGAACAAAGGAATAACGAGGGCTTCAGCTGGGTAGCCTGCACAAATTCAAAAAGGAAAGCAGGCACATTTCTGAACACGCTCCAACTTGACTTTTAACAGGAAATATATGAAAAGAAAAACTGCCTTGCATGATTGGAAGAAACTACAAAAGCATCTAGACCAGACCCAGCATTATGCTCATAATTAAGCTTTCCAGATGGCCAACTGGGATAGCAGATGTAGCATCAGCTGAATTGCTTATCAGCTCTCAGGGCTGTTGCTTATGGGGTTTCATGCCTCCAACAGGTACATACTGAGCACCACCCAGGCACTTGAAATCACCTCATACCTTGGGCTACAGAGCACATATCTATGGAGATGATGTTAAAACACTTAGTCCACACTGCAGATATCTATGACGATGATACTAAAACCTAAGGTCATTAAAAACTAAGTTGGGCCAGCAGTGGTAACTCAAACTTTAATCCCAGCATTCTGAAGGCAGAGGCAGGCGAATCTGTGAGTTCAAGGCCAGCCTGATCTACAGAGCACGTTGCAGGTCAGCCAGGGCTACACAGAAAAAGCCTGTCTTAAAAAGAAAAAAAGAAAAAGAAAAGAAAAAACTAAGGTGAGGAAAGAAAACATGAGTACACTGTGATATTTATACAAGTGCAAAGCAAAATTAGGATTTGTAAATAAATTGTAATACAGTATTTCACTTTTGTTTTAAAGACTTAGGAGAAGGTACAGAAAATACATGGTTCTATGAGTCTGTGTGTTTGACTCAAGCTTAGGTTCTGGAGTGGTCCAGTGGAATTGCTCCTGCAGATCTGGCTGGGCTTCTCAGAGTCCATGGGAAAGCTGTTCCTGACGACCCTAAGTGTGGAATCCAATTGTTAGGGATCTCCCCTGGAGATGCCCTCTCCAGACCCTACCAAAAGATAGCTTACAGCAGTTCCACCCCAGAGAGTATTTAAGGTTTGGCCCAAAGACTTCCTGCTGTGGTTTCCCCTTGTGGTCTCTTCCCCTGTTCCACCTCTCAAGACTACCCAGAGTTGCTTTGCTCATTAAACCTGTACTTTTAATTTGGTTTGATCTGATTTACTGCATTGGCAGAGAGACTTAATATCGGGGTCCAGAAACCTTTTACCAAACTCAAAATGACAAAGTTAGCACAGGAAGAACCCTCAAGGGATTCAGTAAAAACTTAAATACTCAGCATCAATAGTAACACTCACTCCACTTTCTGAGTAGTGGATTAGAAAGCACTGCCAACAGACAGAACAGTAGACCCCACAAAAAACAGACAATGGTAAGAACGTGTCCAAAGGAAATTTCTGGAGACCAATGTGAGAATTTGGGGAAAGAGACGGGATGGGATGAGAATAGATTGAGTTGAGCAGTGTCTGTGAATTACTCTCTCAGAACATCTGTATTTAAAGAAGGGGCTGCCTCGGAGGAAGAATTACTAAGAGTTGTGAAAAGCACATTGGAGAATGAAGGCTGTAAGATACACAAGACATGGAGTGATGGTGGGACCATCCTACAGGTCAGAAGGATGGAGTTAGAATTACTGCTAGGAGGCGGATCACAGAGTAATTTATTTTCCTGCAAAGCGGGGCAGGGCAAAGGTGGTTGCTACACAAGAATGAAGAAAAGGGGAATTCAAGTGGGTTCAGAACTATGGTTTTGCTTTTGGTATAAAACAAAGTTATCTTCAAAATAGGACAAGAAAAAACTTAATGAGGCAAAAGCCTCAGTGTACCTGCCTCTGGTCACAGACCAGAGAGATCACAGAGGCCAAAAACACTCTCCAGAGCTCAAGCTTTGTAACACAGAAGGCATTCAGACCGTAGTGTTTCCTCTACTTTTCAATCCTATCATGGACCTTTCTAGAACTCATTTCTATTTACATAATCCAAAAAGTAGGAAGAATTGCAGAGAAACTTCTTTTCTAAAAATTATGTGTATATGTCTACATGTGATGTGTACATGTGAGCGTGCATGCCTGAGGGGCCAGAAGACCCTCTCTCTCAATATACTGGAGCTTCTGAAAGATGAAGGAAGACCAGTCTAATAGCTGGGATAAGTTTTTTACTTTGGAAAGGGGTGCTTGGTGTGGTGTCGTTTTGTTTTATTCTTCCTTACACCTCTTCATAACCATACATCTCTTTTCTAACTCTCTGGGCAAACAAGCACATCTCTAAAAGAGACTGTGGGCTGGCCCTTGGTTCTAGAGGAGATCTTGTTGAGCTTCTGCTACCTAAGAAGTCCAAAATACATTCTCTGCCCTACACCAACATTTACTCCGCCCTTCCACACTGTTTACTTTTTCCTGTCACCTTGACACAAACTAGGGTTACCCAAGAGGAAGAAACCTCAACTGAAGAACTGCTTCCATCATGGTGAACTGTGGGCATGTCTGTGGGGCATAGGCCGCTATAGACAGATAGGCCTAAGCTGCATAAGAAAGCTAGCTGAATGTTAGCTTGGGGGCAAACCATTAAGCAGCAGTCCTCTATGATCTCTGCTTCAATTCCTACCTCCGGGTTCCTGCTCTGATTTCCTCTCTATGTACTGTGCTTGAAAGTGTAAAATGAAATAAATCCTTTATCCCGCAAGCTGCTTTTGGTCAGTGTTCTATCAGAGTAAAAGAAAATCAAACCAGGACACGTTTTTACTCAATTAGTCTTGTACTTACTGAATAGACCCTTAAAAATTTCACCGACAGTCCCACTCCGTAGCACTGCACCTCACACTTTAATAGGACGACGGATGACTGAGGAATCACACTGTAAAGCAGACTCTGACCTGAAAACCCTAGGCAGGACCAGTGTGTCATACTGTTCTGCTCAGCGGCCTGTACCTTAGCAAGGTCCTAGTAGTGCTCCAAGTGCGGTCAGTCCACAGACACTGGCTGCTCAGTAGACTGCTGCCAGTCCACAAGGAAACAAAGAGCAAGTTCATCAATCAACAAGCCAGCTTCCACCCTAATGAGCTTTTAACCTTTGAAGGAACAGGTCATCGATTCACTTTCTGGCACAGGGCCCCTTTGGCAGCAACTGTACATCTACATCAACTACTTCTTACATGGAGCCAAGACAACTCAACCAAGTAAGAATGGTTTCTTCAAAAGCTAGTATCGGTACATTCCCACTCTTTGACGTAACTTTTGAGACCACTTTAGCTGCCTCTACATTTATTGCTGTGTTGCTTTGCTATGGTGGTGTTTGCTGTTTTGAACATGGATGGCCCCAGGAGATGAACAAAGTACAGCAGGTCTGGTCTGACTCATGAGTAAACAAGCACTGCCATCCTCTGCCATCAACAGAGCTGAAAACTACATTCTTTCTTTCGTCAGCCACACCACTCTACATACACATTCATAGTGTGCTAACTGACCTCTGAAATACCTAAATCTTTTTCTACCCACCCTACATATACATTCATAGTGTGCTAACTGACCTCTGAAATACCTGTCTTTTTCTACCCATTCTACATATGCATTCATAGTGCACTAACTGACCTTTGAAATACCTGTCTTTTTCTACCCACTCTACATATGCATTCATAGTGTGCTAACTGACCTCTGAAATACCTAAGTCTTTTTCTACTCACTCTACTTCTAATCTTTGCCTTCATTGAACCATGCTGGTAAAGCTGGTTAAGATGAACTAAAAGTCCACATAAATGTCCTCACTCTTACCCCTAGTGTTAGTCAATTCATTGTGTTAGCTATAAAAACTGTTCAGACATCCAAGGCAGCTGTTATACCTTCTGATGGAAACAAAACCGACAAATATGTCTTCTGTTACTTTAAATAAGTTACTTGTTAAATGTAAAATAACATCAAATTACTGGTAAGAAGAAATGCTCCAGTACCACATTTATCAAGAGGACTCTTACAAAGGGACTGATGTCACTTTCATCCACATTAAGGTATTTTAGGACAACCAACTTAACTTGCTTTCTCTTCTTGGGAGTGGTGTACAATGACATCATCCATAGCACCATGAAGTCTCAAAGATGAAGGGCATTATAGTCAGACAAAATGGATGCACCTTCCAGATGCTTTTGCTGATCAGGAGGAAATCTTTCCCCTAAAGTTCCCCTACATAAAAGTTAACATCTTGATGGAGATTCGACCACATATGACAAGTCATGTTGGCTTTTTTAAATGTATAAAATACTAAAGTCAACTTTATATTTAGCAACAAAGGACTGAATGCCTTTGTATTAAGACTGGGAACAAAGCAAGGATATATGTGTCATTCAATGTAATATTACAAGTTTCAGCCATTGCAATAACACAACAAAGAGGAAGAAAACTACAGACAAGAAAAAAAGCCATCTCTCATTGCAATTTTGGTGAAATGACAGAATATATTATAAAAATTAACTGTATTTCTAAATACTAGCAGTAAACCTATGGATTTAAAAACAAAATCTAAAATATAATATCAGAGGCTGTAATTTG